ATGTAAGTCATTATAAAAGAACTTAAATATAATGCAGACGGTATGTAGCTATCCTTTTCTCTCTGATTACATGTAAGTCATTATACCTACTTGTAAGTCAATAGAAGAGAACTTAAATGTTATGCAGACTTTATGTAGGTATCCTTTTCTCTCTCTTCTATGGCTAACAAAAGTTTTGGTCACTATTCTAGTCGTTTGCATTCCTTGTTTGTTTATTTTTCTTTTCAAAACATAATATTACCGGTTTTTTCATAATCTGCACATGATTCTTTTTTGTTTAAATATTCTTCCACTTGAACTCTTTTGTGCCAATTTAATAATTTTATTAAATATAAAATTTGACATGTGTTAAATAGCCGCTTAACCCATTAATTTATCATTTTTCCTTTTCAAATTAAACAGCCGCAACAAAAAAAATCCTCCTGTCAAGTGACATTTTTTTACATGACATACAATTTTCAATTGTGGAAAAACTGTCTGTATGTAGAAATTTTACCGCATACTACTACTTACACACATAATAATTGTAGAAAAATAATGTAAATTTCTGTTTTATGAGCATGTATTTTTTTCATATTTATGACTGACAGCTATTGATGGAGATTAAAATGACAGATGGTTTATTGAATAATGTGTTCAATAATAAGTATATGTTTGCTGCTACTTGTGTTTTTACATATTTTATTGAAAATTGAGTTTTCAATTGCTATTAAGCAAATATTTTTTTTTGGTTTGCGGTCAAATATGGCTTATTTGTTAATATAATATTTGGTTTATATCGAAATAGTTATGGTTAAACTAAATTTCTAAAAGCGCATTAAATTCTTAATTATATTTTCTTTTTATTGTTTAAATATTCGTGCTTAAAAATGTTTAAGTGGCTTAAGGAAAATATAAAACATTTTTTTCATGTTTTCTTTAAAATCGTGACATTACTATTACATTTTTCTAATACAGGAATTTATTTAACTCCCTCCCAAAAACAAACGTCATTGTTAAATTTCTTTAGTTTTAAACAAAAAAAAAAACAATTAATTATATGACTCACGACTGTTTCGGACGTGATCCCTTATAAAGTAGAAAGAAACAACGGAAAACAATATTAAATCACTTGAACAAAAGAGCAACAAGGTAACAATAACAAAAACAACAACCAAAAACCGGTAAAAACCTTCCCCAACCACAAATTTTACACTTTATTGTTATTTTTTTTTTTTAGAAATCTTTCAAGTGTTCGAAACATCCAACCGACGATAGCTTTATGGGTAGAAGGGGAAACTTAAGCCAACAAATAACATTTGGTTTATAAACTTAAAAACGTAAACTTTACCTTTTTTCCAAAAGTGCTAAAGGTTCAACATTATGCATTTATTTATATATATTTTTTTGTTTCTGTTAATTTAATGTAGTTTTATTTTGGCCGTACCCTTTTTTTAAACTTGCTGGTTTATTGTTTACTACTTTTGTTTTGACTTTTATTTTCTTATTTATACATGTTTTCTTTGTTGGCTTGCTGACTGCCAATTGTTGTTTTGAGCTGCTTACCTACTAAATGTTAAGAGTTTTTTTTTCAACATTTTTGTTTCTTCCCAAAACCAACTGATTTCCTACGTTTGACAAAGTCAAGCAGAAGGAAAAAAGACGTTGAACTACTTCATGGAAAATATCAAATATACTATATCCCATATAGTAAACCAAACACATCTGTGTTGTTTTGGAGTTCCTACTTTAAAAAAGTTGGTGTACTAAGTTTAGTTTTTAATAAAATATAGTTAAATATTGTACAAACTGAGTTGTTCCCGGGGCATGTTACCTAGTGCCCCGCTCACACCTTGGTGTTATTGCAATCCAGCATAATAGATGTGCTGCAACCTCTAGTATGCCCAGACTAGAAAATGGCGGTATCAAATGATTCATCGCGGTTATTTAACTCGGCGTTTCACCAGAGTACCTATCTAGTCTGTGGGAGTACATGACCCTCAGGATTCGGGTGGATGAATCCCAAATTAGTGGAAGAGAATGGTGGTTGGAAGTCTGATCCAAGGGATAAGATTCCGATGATATTGCTGGAGTGGAGTGACTTCGGGAACTATATATGTATATAGAGAAAAAGTTGATGTCATAGGAACAAAATGCAGAATGAGTCATAGGGGTATGGGCCCGACTTTAGTCACATATACTTATGTATGTGTCGAATGAAATCTCTATGTGAACGGGTACGGATGCACAGTATTTCTGTCATTTATTATCAATAAAGTTGCCTTCTTTGTAGGGATATTTTTCAGGGTTTACTCTGATCTACTGCAGTGTGTCCCATATGTGTAAGGAAAATATGTATGTCGAACTTTGGTCTACCATATAGTCTCTAGGTGCTGTTGCCGAAACAATAGCAACTAGTTTGCTATCGACTAGTCTAGACCTCTTGACTACACAAAGGAAAAAAAATACGTTTCAGAATTATACACGCCTGGTAGCAAATTGACACCAAAGTGTTTATAATTTTTCAATAACATCCGTTGTCAAAGTATGTACGGATAGTTGTGAAATGAATAACAAAAATATAAAAAATACACGACGTTATCAAAACAAACAAAAAATAATAAAAGTGACGACGACAACGATTCGTTGTTGAAATCACAGCGATGCATTGCCGAAATGACACAAAACGTAATCGAAATGACAACAATGTGTTGTTGCAAAAACAACGATGTGTTGTCAAAATTACAACGGTGGGTGTCAAAATGATAACTGGTTGTTATTTACATTTTATACACATCCGTTGTCTAAATATTAACAAACGTGGTAAGCTCACTTTTGACAACGGATTGTATCAATTTCTGAACTTTTAAACCGGGTTTTCCATCTGTGTAGTCTATTGCAGGCATGGGGGTAATGATTACACAAAGTAATTAATTACAAGGTCAATTACAATTACTTGTAATGTGTAATTGAACAATAACCAATTACAATTACTTGTAATTGAAATTTTTCCAATTACAATTACTTGTAATTGAAATTTTTCCAATTACAATTACTTGTAATGTGTAATTGACCTTGTAATTAATTACTTTGTGTAATTAATTACTTCAAATATAATTGTAATTGAAAATGTAGTCATTACCCCCCAAGCCTGGTCTATTGTGTAGTATATGGTCTAGTCTATGGATTAGTCTATTAACTGATCTACAGTCCATGGACTTGTCAATGATCTTGTCTATGGAATAGTCTAGTCTATATTCACACTTATTCACTGACTAGCCTAAGGTCTCGTATATTGACTAGTCTATGGACTAGTTTCTTGACTAGTCTATGGAATAGTATTTTGACTAGTCTGAATACTGTTCTATTGGTTAGAAGATGATTCCAAAAGTATGGATTATTAGATGGCCTAGGTACTTAAGCAAAGAATTTGTTCATAGACAGCGTGTTCTTTGCCACTCATAAAGGAGCGGACGCCAAGGCAGACGGCGTACACGCAAAACATTTCATGAATTTGTCCGAACTACCTAAAATTTTGAACTTAAGTTTCGGACCCTGGTTCAAAATAATGGATCAGTAACAGATATGCTATCGGCAACGGTAATATGACGAAATCCTAAAAGAAAGTTATGACTTAAAAAGTATCGGTTATTAAAGAATGATAAAGGAAAGACCTTTCATTTGAGAACTATGTTATCGAGTTATATCCAAAAATATGTTTTTTGGGGGATATAACCAATATATCAACCATTTATGTAGAGAATTTTGGGTGTTACTCAAAGAAAAATTTCAAATGTTAAAAACTTTCAAACTTTTTATCTTTAAAATTTCATTTGATCAATCTTAAAACTAAATCTTAACGATTTAAATTTCCCTACCAAAAACAAAACCCTTTAATTACCTAAATGGGTGTGTGATCATTTCTTTTTATAGCTAAATTTCTAATTTTATAGTTGGGTATTTAAATTTCGTATATGCCGACGTAGTTTTATTACTTGTACTGTATAGTGTTACACAGTTTAATATTCTTTGTTGACCAACTGACATGGGTAATGAAATGAAAAATGAAAGAAGCAAAACAAAATTAGCTTTAAAACCTTTTTCTTCTCTTATTTTATGCTTTTATTTTATTTATTTTTTTTTTTTTTTTCTTTATAAAAAACTTCTATTTGATTTTATTATATGTATTTATGAATTTGAGGTTTTGCCCAAATGTCCGTCGAAGTTACACTGACTGTCTGTCTGTCAGTCCGACTGTCTACCTTTGAAACTGTTGTTTTTTTGAGTAAGTTAAGAGCTCAACTTAGTTTGAGTATGATTCAACAAATCAGTTGCAGTTGTAAAGCTTAAACGACAGCTTGTAACAACAAACTAACTCTAACGTCTAATAATTTTAAAGTGTGGCAATAAAAAAGTTTTAAGTTTTTTTAACTTTTTTGTTAACTATAAATATTACAAGTAGATATGGTAAGCTATGAGCAGAATTCGTGTTTAAATGTTAAAATTAGTGTTTATTCAATAGTTATTTTTAAACAATTTTGCATAATTGGATTTTGTGTAAATTATTTTTATTGATTTTTTTCGCATTTCAACATTTTGCAATATTAACCGCACAATATTTTCTTATTTGGGAAATATGACGGAACTGTATTTCTTTTCATATTAAAAAAGTTTTTTAAGGTTTTACGCTTGACCTTTGGGCAAAGTATATACCTATAGTTTAGTTTTATTTCCCTAGTGCTGTAAGCAAGTAATATATTATTTAACTGAGTTTTGAAAAAACATATTAAATAAATAACAATCATATTAATATGGAGAATAAAAAGAATTCTAACAGCCATCATACATCTAGTGATATACCAGAATTCCAAAGAATAAAATTACGTCCTGTGCCCCAAGTTAAAAGAAAAGCTCCTCAGCCACCCAACAATTTAGCCTTAAGAAAAGTATTTATTTAAATTTTAAAATTATATTTTATTTTCCTCTTTATTTATTAATTGTATTCTTTTTTTTATTTACAGACTTCATCAACCACAAAAACTACAACATTAACTACACCCGCCAAGTTGTATGGCAAAGATTTAAGTGAATATGATGAAGTGGATGTTGAAGCTTTATTGGCACAATTATCACCTGAAGAAATTAATATTTTGGCCAAAGAAGTTGATCCTGATGTAAGTTTAAAACATTCATACTATTCACAAGCGCTATCGTAGCATTATAACGTTATTTTAGGAAATACAACGATACAATGCTAAGACACCCACTGTGAATGGGACAAATTATACATATAACTTTTAAAATTTCAAAACGCTAAACTGTATTTTTTATTTTATCACAGGATTCTTTCTTGCCACCAGATCAACGTTGCAGTTATGAATGCACCAAGGAATCTACCGGTCCCTTGAATCGTAAAAAGCTTATTGAACACATTAACAAACAGGCGATAGAAACACCCGATGAACCCGAATTCGAACCCTATGTTAAGGGTACGGTTCGTGGTAAAAAATGGGTACCACCACCACGGGATGTACGTGAATTGGAAGCTGAGGAAAAGATTGCCATCGATATGGGTGAAGAGTATGAGCAGGCTTTGAGCGATGCTACACAAGAAGAAATTATTGATTTGGCTGCCATTTTGGGTTTCCATTCGATGATGAATCAAGATCAATATCATGCCTCTTTATTGAACAAAGGTCAACCAGTTGGTTTGGGTTGGGATGGCATCACAAAGTCTACACAACAAAAAGTCTATCCCATGGATCCACCCAATAATACAGATGTCGATGAATCGATTAAACGTGTTAAGGAAGATGATTCGAAATTGATTGAACTGAATTTAAATAATATTAAGGTGAGTTTAAGAGATATTTGGTGAAAAAAAATAGGAGCCAACGACTCCTACGTGCCAGAAACAGTACTAACAGTACTTCCAACAAATAGTACACAGGCTAGTTCATGAGCTATAGTTGAAAAAGTAGTCTACTCTATAGACTAGTCTGTTGACAAGCATATTTGGTAGTTTGTTGATTGATCTATTGATTTGACTATGAGAAAATCTATGTACTACTCTGTTGTCTATTAAATATAATATTTCCCAGTCTATGGACTACCCTATTCCATAATCTATGGACTAGTCTCTTAACCAGTCTATAGACAAGTTTATTGACTACTCTTTGCACTGATCTATAGACTAGTCCGCGAATTATTCAATGGATTAGTCTATTGACTAGTCTGTTGACTCCTTTATGAACTAATCTATTGACTGTTCTATTGATTAGTCTATGCACTGGTCTTTTGACAATCGTATTTTATTGACAAATCTGTGGACTAGTCTATTAACTAACCTATGTACAACATACTCTATGAACTAATCTATTGGCTGGTATAAGAAATGTGACTAGACTATAAACTAGTGGACTAGTCAAGTGACTAGACTATAAACTAGTCAATTGATTATGTTTTTGACAAGTCTATGAAAAAGTCTATTGGGTAGTCGACTGACTATTCTACGAACTAATCTTCATATTAGTCTACGAATAAAACTAGTTTATGAACTACTCTATAGAGTTATCTATTAACTAACGAAAAATATCTTCTCTACTAATTGCTCTATTTACGACAAGTCATAATTACAATAATTTTACATTATTTCCTTTCAATAGAACATTTCTGATGAGAAATTGGAGCAATTAATTGAAGCACTGCCTCAAAATGAACATTTGGAAGTTTTGTCTTTGACAAATGTGGGTCTAACCGATAAGACTGCTTTATTATTGGCCGAGGCCATTGAGAAAAGCAAAACCTTGAGAGTATTAAATGTCGAAACAAATTTCATAAGCCCACCTGTTATAGTAAAATTAGTTAAAGCCCTCCTTAAATGTCGCACCATTGAAGAATTCAGAGCTTCTAATCAGGTAAGTTTTAGCTTTTTAAATTCATTATAATTATTCTTTAATTAAACTTATAATAATATTATGACTTTCAAAAGCGATCACAAGTTTTGGGCAATAAAATTGAAATGGAAATCACGGATTTAGTGGAAAAGAACACATCACTGCTTAGACTGGGTCTTCATCTTGAATTCAACGATGCCCGTCATAGAGTTGCTGCACATTTGCAACGTAATATTGACAGAAGTAAGTACCATTTTATACTAAATTTTTTACTATTAAATATATTTTTCCCCCCAAAAAAAAACCTTTTATGAACTTTATAAAGGTGTCAGTCAACGTTGGCTTTTTGTGGTTTTCTTTTTAAAGGATTTCTCTAGGTGTGTTGTTAAGTTCCCTTAGGTTTAGTTTTAAGTTTCCCCTGTTATTTTGTGAGATTTTTTTTAACTACAAACTTCAGCTATTACAATTGTTTATTCAAAAATTTAGGTGAAAGTGATACAGATTTAGTTAAATCTTCACCATCATCACCACCACCACCATTACAATCAATTCAAGCATCATTAGCTCAACAATCAGCTGCATTTGAAAATGATAAAATTCAAATTGATGAATTAGCATCTTCATCATCTAATGCAAATTTATTACCTAATGAGAATCATAACAATGTAAATAATGATCATAATACTGCGTTCAGCAATATTAATAATAACAATGATAAAACAACTTTTGATACAAATGTAAATGATAACGTTGCAACATCATCATCATCTCAACCATCACCACCACCAGCAGCATTATCAGCTACATTATCTTCCATTGAAGCATATGATGTAAAGGAGAAATTTTATGCAAAAACGTCTGATATAGCTACAACAAATATTGTTGTTAATAATTTATCATCAAATCATAAAAATAATAATAGTATTGCTAGTGCTAACATTGGCAATAGCATTTGTAATAATCATATGCATAACTTTGATTCAAATGCAAATAATGTCAGCAACAATTTATCATTGTCATCGACATCATCGACATGTTTCACTGCACCATTACAGCAGCCATCATCACCACTCACTGTTGCGGATGCTTTAGTTATAACAAAGAGTTCAAAGGATACAGATGAAAAAGAAATTTAAAATTTATCACATAAATCACAATTATATTAAATATTTATTCACTTTTCTTTTATTTTATTCTATACTTAATAGGATTTAATACTGTTTTCCTATTTTATTCTTTAACGAGTTTTTTAAAAGTTTTTTTACTTTTCTATGACCTAAGACTTTTATGCGAAACTTTGAGTTTTAAACTTTTGGTAGTTCTAAAAGTTGAATTGAATTACACTTGTAATCCAGATGTTAATAGCTCAGACCAGTAAAGTGGACATGTAATGGCAATGTAATGATTTGACATACATAAATCTAGCAAAAGTTCTAATTTAGTTCTTGTTCCATTCTAGTTCAGTTCTAGTTCATTTCTAGTTCAGTTCTAGTTCAGTTCTAGTTCAGTTCTAGTTCAGTTCTAGTTCAGTTCTAGTTCAGTTCTAGTTCAGTTCTAGTTCAGTTCTAGTTCAGTTCTAGTTCTAGTTCAGTTCTAGTTCAGTTCTAGTTCTAGTTCAGTTCTAGTTCAGTTCTAGTTCAGTTCTAGTTCAGTTCTAGTTCAGTTCTAGTTCAGTTCTAGTTCAGTTCTAGTTCAGTTCTAGTTCAGTTCTAGTTCAGTTCTAGTTCAGTTCTAGTTCAGTTCTAGTTCAGTCCTAGTTCAGTTCTATTTCAGTTCTATTTCAGTTCTAGTTCAGTTCTAGTTCAGTTCTAGTTCAGTTCTAGTTCAGTTCTAATTCAGTTCTAGTTCAGTTCTAGTTCAGTTCTAGTTCAGTTCTAGTTCAGTTCTAGTTCTAGTTCATTTCTAGTTCAGTTCTAGTTCTAGTTCAGTTCTAGTTCAGTTCTAGTTCAGTTCTAGTTCTAGTTCAGTTCTAGTTCAGTTCTAGTTCAGTTCTAGTTCAGTTCTAGTTCAGTTCTAGTTCAGTTCTAGTTCAGTTCTAGTTCAGTTCTAGTTCAGTTCTAGTTCAGTTCTAGTTCAGTTCTAGTTCAGTTCTAGTTCAGTTCTAGTTCAGTTCTAGTTCAGTTCTAGTTCAGTTCTAGTTCAGTTCTAGTTCAGTTCTAGTTCAGTTCTAGTTCAGTTCTAGTTCAGTTCTAGTTCAGTTCTAGTTCAGTTCTAGTTCAGTTCTAGTTCAGTTCTAGTTCACTTCTAGTTCAGTTCTAGTTCAGTTCTAGTTCAGTTCTAGTTCAGTTCTAGTTCAGTTCTAGTTCAGTTCTAGTTCAGTTCTAGTTCAGTTCTAGTTCAGTTCTAGTTCAGTTCTAGTTCAGTTCTAGTTCAGTTCTAGTTCTAGTTCAGTTCTAGTTCAGTTCTAGTTAAATTCTACTTCAGTTCTAGTTCAGTTCTGGTTCAGTTCTAGTTCAGTTCTAGTTCAGTTCTAGTTCAGTTCTAGTTCATTTCTAGTTCAGTTCTAGTTCAGTTCTAGTTCTGGTTATAGTTCAGTTCTAGTTCAGTTCTAGTTCAGTTCTAGTTCAGTTCTAGTTCAGTTCTAGTTCAGTTCTAGTTCAGTTCTAGTTCAGTTCTAGTTCAGTTCTAGTTCAGTTCTAGTTCAGTTCTAGTTCAGTTCTAGTTCAGTTCTAGTTCAGTTCTAGTTCAGTTCTAGTTCAGTTCTAGTTCAGTTCGTTCAGTTCTAGTTCAGTTCTAGTTCAGTTCTAGTTCAGTTCTAGTTCAGTTCTAGTTCAGTTCTAGTTCAGTTCTAGTTCAGTTCTAGTTCAGTTCTAGTTCAGTTCTAGTTCAGTTCTAGTTCAGTTCTAGTTCAGTTCAGTTCTAGTTCAGTTCTAGTTCAGTTCTAGTTCTGTTCTAGTTCTGTTCTAGTTCTGTTCTAGTTCTGTTCTAGTTCAGTTCTAGTTCAGTTCTAGTTCAGTTCTAGTTCTGTTCTAGTTCTGTTCTAGTTCTGTTCTAGTTCTGTTCTAGTTCTGTTCTAGTTCAGTTCTATTTCAGTTCTGGTTCAGTTCTAGTTCAGTTCTAGTTCATTTATAGTTTAGTTCTACTACAACTATATATGTTTTTCTGAAGGTCCCAGATATTTCGGGATCAAAATCATCTATAGTTCTATCAATATCAAAATAATTATTTACAAAACTTTTTAAACAAAATATAGGAAAAATAAGATAATTTCAAATATAACATTTAAAACCTTTGCTCCAGCACCTAACAAGTGACTTTGGATTACAATTTTTTAGAAAAGGAAACACAAAAGTAGTTTTTATGAAACTTTTTCATTAAACAATTTTCAAAATTTACCCAATCTACTACTAAATTTTAAATTTCTTTTTATAAATCTGTTAAACAAATATTATGCAATACAGAAACCCAAACTCTTTGGCGGTTAACAGGTAATAAACAATTATGTTAAATAACCCCCTTAATGGATTACTAAGCGTTTTATGAGCGTCTAATGGTGAATAAAACAAACGTTTAAAAATCGTGGTGAAAGTAAAAGTCTACGTCCAAAAAAAGTGTAATGTGTTCTTGTTGCAAATAAAATTTTAAGTGTTAAAAGTTAAATTTGTTTATTGTTATATATTTCTATAAAAATAAATCTAAACAGTTAAATATTTAAATATTTTATAAAAAATATATACATAGTTTTAAATTAAAAAGATAAAGGGACTTTTCGTTAACGCGTTACATAACATCAAAACTCTTTTAAATTGTATTATTAATCTACATAGACTCTTAAACATTTACATTGCTTTTTCTCACTTTATGTTATTTACATTAATCTCATCCCATAGTTGTTGTGTTTATTCTAAAACATGATATAAAAAATCCCTTTTTTATTACATTTAAATTTATTTGTAGTTGAGATAGTTGATCCCGATGTTTTTACTAGTTTTGTTTAATACTCATACAATAATAATGGTCGTTTTATTGTTTTTTTCTCTCTCTTAAACAATCTAAACTCATCATATATGTCCTGTAATAATTTATCCAATTGTTTTTTTTTTTTTTTGTTGCGTTAATTTTTTTAATAGATTTTTTTTTAGATAATTTAAAATAATTAACTTAATATCATTAATTAATTTTATTTTTATTTATTATTTCTTGTAATATAAAAAAAATCAACATAACTATTTGTAACACGTGTAAATTAACCAAAAAAAAATTCAAAATAATCTCAAAAATTCCAAACCAATGTTTGTCTTATAATACATCATCATGCAACAATTTAAAACTTCTTTTAACTACAAATAGTTGTACGTGTACAAAAGTTGAAACCCAACTTGCCAAAACTTATTTTACCACCGGCTAATATTGGTATGGAGTATATAGCTCCACCAACGGTAACACCATCGCCTTCACCTTCGCCCATACCGCGTATCGATTATGATGTTGAGGTTGACCCTGATAATATGGTAATTAGAGGTGGTGCCCTAACACCATCTCCCTCACCATCACCACAACCTCCACAGGAGGATTATGAGGTTGAGATCGATCCGGATAATATGGTTATCCGTGGTGGCGGTAATAATGTATTTGATTATGATTTTGATTACGAAGAAGATCAAAGCAATCGTTTAATTTCTTCTTCATCGTCATCAACTTCTATGAGATCGAATAGCAATGCTGCCAATTTGAATGATATGCCAGCTTATAATGAAGATTTAACCAGCTATAAATCCCATACGTGAGTTAGTTTATCAGCTAAAAAAAAAAAAAAAAAACAAATACAGTCAGTCATCTAAATATGTCAAGCGAAATATACACCAACGAATATAAAACTACATTCCTGTACAAATTACATAAACAGAATACACCTCCAGCTGCTAGGAAAATAAACAGCGTTCTACTTACAACAATACACACAAATATACTCACTTGTATAAAAGCTTAGATGTTTTTTTTTTTTTCCTTTCTGTTCTTACCAAGAAATTGTAAACTCCACTACTACACCACACCCTTTAACAGTTTATTACAGTCAATGTTCTTTCTTTCGTTCGTTGTTCTACTACCTACCAAATCGTATAGTTTTTTTCTTTTTGTTTTTGTTTAATTTATCATTTTAACTTTTTTTCTTTGCCGACCAATATCTCTTGTACATATATATTACATTAATTTTCCTTATTGTAGTTTATTTTGTATATTTTGTATTTAATTTTTAAGATGGTTATACATATATTTTTATTAATTTTTTTTCTTAACATTCGTTTTGTTTTCCTATGATGTTGAACTTTTGTTTTTTTTTATTAAACTTTAACATCATGTGAAAATCTTCATTGTCATCTTCATTTTGGTGTTTTTTTGGGGCTTTTGTTGTCATCAGTCATGTTTTTTTTTAATGTCATGTAAGGTGGCCTTCATTCATCATTTCATTAAAATACTTAATACATTTATGTGATATTCTCTTTTTTTTCTTCTTGTAAATAACTTTGACACACTTTTCACATTCATATTTGACAGGGATGTTGTTAAGTTTATGATTTTTTTTTTTAATTTTTATCAAAACTAAAAACCTATAAAACATTTTCATTTTAAAGAAACATTTAAAAAATATGAACAATAAGCAAAATCTTAAAAATAATTTTAGGGGGTAACTGCGCCACTATGTTTGGTTGCACTTTACTTTTTTACATTTTTTATTGTGAATAGACCAGAATTTTTCTATTAAATCTGGTTTCGGAGGTTGAAATGTCTACTAATATTTTATATTGATGGGCAATTTGACTTCAGCATTTGACTTTCAACAAGAATAGAATAGAGATTAAATAGAAAAACAAGAAAAAGGAAATAAAGTCCTTGGCCTGGTCCCTGATATTATTGAGATACAGATCTCGAACGATTTAAAATAAGAGATCAGAAACCTCATTATAGCATCTAAACGAAAATGTCAGTTCTAGTTCAGTTCCAGTTCATTTCTAGTTCATTTCTAGTTCAGTTCTAGTTCAGTTCTAGTTCAGTTCTAGTTCTAGTTCAGTTCTAGTTCAGTTCTAGTTCAGTTCTAGTTCAGTTCTAGTTCAGTTCTAGTTCAGTTCTAGTTCAGTTCTAGTTCTGTTCTAGTTTAGTTCTAGTTTAGTTCTAGTTCAGTTCTAGTTCAGTTCTTGTTCAGTTCTAGTTCAGTTCTAGTTCAGTTCTAGTTCAGTTCTAGTTCAGTTCTAGTTCAGTTCTAGTTCAGTTCTAGTTCAGTTCCCGTTCAGTTCTAGTTCAGTTCTAGTTCAGTTCTAGTTCAGTTCTAGTTCAGTTCTAGTTCAGTTCTAGTTCAGTTCTAGTTCAGTTCTAGTTCAGTTCTAGTTCAGTTCTAGTTCAGTTCTAGTTCAGTTCTAGTTCAGTTCTAGTTCAGTTCTAGTTCAGTTCTAGTTCAGTTCTAGTTCAGTTCTAGTTCAGTTCTAGTTCAGTTCTAGTTCAGTTCTAGTTCAGTTCTAGTTCAGTTCTAGTTCAGTTCTAGTTCGGTTCTAGTTCAGTTCTAGTTCAGTACAGTTCAAGTTCAGTTCTAGTTCAATTCTAGTTCAGTTCTAGTTCAGTTCTAGTTCTATGTTTGGCTGCACTTTACTTTTTTACATTTTTTATTATGAATAGACCAGAATTTTTCTATTAAATCTGGTTTCGGAGGTTGAAATGTCTACTAATATTTTATATTGATGGGCAATATCGCACCACATTTGACTTCAGCATATGACTTTCAACAAGAATAGAATAGAGATTAAATAGAAAAACAAGAAAAAGGAAATAAAGTCCTTGGCCTGGTCCCTGATATTATTGAGATACAGATCTCGAACGATTTAAAATAAGAGATCAGAAACCGCATCTAAACGAAAATGTCTATTATAATGTGGGTTTATCCCAGCGATATTTTCCAATTCGTCATGGAACTTTTTTGCAACCCAATTTTCGTCTGAGACTTTGCTTTCTAACACAATGAATGGCAAACGTTTCTAGCTTTTCAATATCCTCGCATAACCTGTAGAAGTCCGGTATGAGGACTCTGATAGGGTCTAAAAAAACCTTATTAGAGTCCTTACACTACATCTATACAATGCAATAATCCTACAAAAATTGAGACTACTCCGCACATGCGTGAATAGAGTACTCCTCAAAGTACTAGGACTGGTCCAAAACAAATCCAAATATATGGAAAACAAATTACAACATTAACATTGTGATGTCCTAGGTGAGGACCAAGTAATCCATCTATGTTTTACATCCGAAACTTGGTTCTATGTGTGTAATAAACATGACCTACGCCTGCACTACATATGACATATGACTACTTAACGGATCATGTACTACAATAATGTATACAGGAGATTACCTAAATGGATCATGTTCTCCAATAACTTTTATAGGGAAGTATCTTGATTGCACCTTTCCTCTACCAATTTACCCTTTCAAGACAGTTTTCTTTCAAAAAGACACTCTATAATAGTTACAAATAAGTGGCTTTTTACCCTATTGTGACTTCTATTTAGATTGGGCTTCTGTACATTACAGTGTCCTGGTACCTTAAACAGCCTTATTGTAAATAGTCCCATAATATCATTTAGAGCATTTCTACATTCTAAGACTATGCAAGAATGAGCCATATAACATATGTATGCTTTAAGTGCAGCCTGACTATCGATATGAATTGAGATTCCAAGATCAAAGGCCTTCGCTTGATAGACACTACATCCACCAGGGAGTCTAAAGGACCACCGATATGAATTGAGATTCCAAGATCCAAGGCCTTCGCTTGGGAGACTTTACATCCATTAGGATGTCTAAAGGAACTTTTTCTGTTCATGTCAGCAATTTAGGTCCTGGCACCTTGGCCATCTTGGACCGCTCTTATAGAAAATCACTTTATAGTTAATAAATCGCTTGAGCGCACAACAGACGCGATAGTGCCCTAGGTGTATTTCTTCGAATTTGATGTAGTATACATCCTCCTATCAACCTAACCTAATAAATCGCTTAAAATCGAGTTATTAAGAGAAATTCCAAAACATATTTGTTATTAGAAATTAATCACTCTTTCAAATTCTGAGGAGTTCGATTCATGATTGAACCAAGTTCGAAGTAAAAGGCCGTCTTCCGAATATCTTACGAATGCTTATAAGGTTGTCGGTGTTTATTTAAGATTCGGCATAGTCGAAACATAGTAAACAACATAGTTTTAAGATTTTGCTTAAAATATATTTACTCCCTTAGTATCAAAACACAATTTTTGTTTAAATCATACTTTTTTCAAAACCTTTTATTGTGTGTCCTCCCTATTTATCACCATTTGTTACGGCCTTTAAAGCACTTTGACTTTTAAGGCACTTTCTATATCCCTGATACAATTACTTTCAAATAAACCTATCAAAACTTGTGTTCTTATTGTTTTATGTGGGTTCTTTTTGTAGTTCTCTCTTTACCTTTTTACCATAACTGATGTTTTGTACCCGTACCACACCAATATATATCTCTTTATTCTTTCCTAATTCATATAATACTTGTTTTAATTATTTTTTTTTACTTTTTGTTTTAGTTTATCATTAAAATTTATTGTTTCATTTTATAATTATTTCAGTTTATGTTATTTTATCTAAATGTTTTATGTTTTATTTCTTTCTTCTCTCTCATTTATTTCTTGTTTACAGTAAGAAAAGATCTTGAGTTACGTCTGCAGTTCAGATTTTTCAATAATCTTCACAGAAATCCAACAAGAGTTCAGTAAACATTTTAAAAACAAAAGTTTTTGAAAAAAACGAAAAATAAAAAATATATTTAATCAAACAAAAAAACCAAAAAAAAATCATTAAAAAACTAAAAAAAAAACAAACACACTCAAATGTCGCATATTTAATTAAACTAAACTTAAAAAAGAGAGATTTTAAATTTAAAAGCAAAACTAAACATTTAAAGAAATGTGTATAAATTTTAAGAAAACCCTTAAAAAAACTGAAGTTAAACTAAACAAAAAGCAGCCATTGATGATGAATGAATATAATAAATAATTACCACAACACTTCGTCGTCAACAGCAGCAGCGTGTAAAAAGAGTTTATAAAATAGATAAAGAAAATAAAGGCTTTTTGTTTAAATCTTCAAAAAAACAATTTTTGTAATTATAAGTTAAAAAAAAAAAACAATCAGGTTTTATATATTTAAAAAAGGAAACTTAAAACAAAAATCAACGCTTTATTTCTAACTATAATTTTATATAAATTTTAATATAAAGAAAAGCACTTATCACTAATATTTTGTTGAATGAAAGAAAAAAAGAACAATTAAAGTTAAAATATAATTATCATCACCATCATCAACGTATCCCCGTATAAAAACTACGTATCTCATCATTTAATTTATACTCTAATCAAATTCAAACCAAAAAAAAAAGAGAAAAAAAAAACTTAAAAAAAAGAAAATTTTAAAGAAAGCACACACACACACCCAAACACATAAGAAAACATTAGATGTCTTAAGGATTGATTAACTCTTACTATATAACAAGCAGTAACGAAGAATTACGATAATTAAAACAAGATTTTGTAAAAATTTATTACAAAATTTAAAATTTTGTTTTATAGAAGTAACAAAGAAAAAACAAGGTATCTATTTAAAATCCTAATCAAAGGATTTACTAAGAATATTTTAAACTTGTTTTGTTATGAAATTTTGCGTTTGATATTCACAATGTTTTGTCTTTATTATACTATATTTCACACTCTTTCTTCCTGTCTCTCTTTTAAATTAAAGCTACTAATTCTCTCTTAAGCTACAAACTAGGATTTACTTTCAAATTTGATTTCAATGAATGTTTCGAAATTACTTTATGAGAAAGCTAATTGCAGTTGTGATGTGATTGCAACTAAATATAGCCTAAGGCTTATATTTACTACAAAAAAAAATAGAAAGAACTCTGGAATTTTTTCAAATTATGAACTGACTGCATCATTGATTTAGTATAATTATTTATTAGCCAGCCATGCATTATTTTTTTTTTTTATTAAAAAATTACAGCAGTATTTAAAAATATAAAATGCTGTGTATTAACTAAAGTGGGGCTGACTTTTTGTGGGTTATTCCCCTCAGAGTTAACTCTCTCTTTAGTTAACACATAGATTTCTTAATTTTAAATACGACTAAGCTTAAGCTATTCTGCATTCTATAAAATTTTATTTAACATTTTATTTTTTTATCACATTCATCGAAATTTATTATTTATTTGTATATTGTTTTCATATGCTGCATGTTTTTATGTTATTTTTTTGTTCAAATTGAAATTTTATGTTATTTTCAGCATGTTTTTCGTTTTGTACTGTTTCTAACCTTTACACAAATTTACACAATAGATATACATAAGTATTTTAAAAATTAAGCATTTTTAAATATTAAAATCTGTGTTTAAATTTAAAGTATTTCATTACACTAGAACTTAACTAGAACCAAACTAGAACTGAGCTAAAACTGAACCCAAACTGATCTAGAACTGAACTAGAACTGAACTAGAACTGAACTAGAACTGAACTAGAACTGAACTAGAACTGAACTAGATCTAGAACTGAACTAGAACTGAACTAGAACTGAACTAGAACTGAACTAGAACTGAACTAGAACTGACCTAGAACTGAACTAGAACTGAACTAGAACTGAACTAGAACTGAACTAGAACTGAACTAGAACTGAACTAGAACTGAACTAGAACTGAACTAGAACTGAACTAGAACTGAACTAGAACTGAACTAGAACTGAACTAGAACTGAACTAGAACTGAACTAGAACTGAACTAGAACTGAACTAGAACTGAACTAGAACTGAACTAGAACTGAACTAGAACTGAACTAGAACTGAACTAGAACTGAACTAGAACTGAACTAGAACTGACCTAGAACTGAACTAGAACTGAACTAGAACTGAACTAGAACTAAACTAGAACTGAACTAGAACTGAACTAGAACTGAACTAGAACTGAACTAGAACTGAACTAGAACTGAACTAGAACTGAATTAGAACTGAACTAAAACTGAACTAGAACTGAACTAGAACTGAACTAGAACTGAACTAGAACTGAATTAGAACTGAATTAGAACTGAACTAAAACTGAACTAGAACTGAACTAAAACTGAACTAGAACTGAAATAGAACTGAACTAGAACTGAATTAGAACTGAACTAGAACTGAATTAGAACTGAACTAAAACTGAACTAAAACTGAACGAGAACTGAAATAGAACTGAATTAGAACTGAATTAGAACTGAATTAGAACTGAATTAGAACTGAACTAAAACTGAACTAAAACTGAACTAGAACTGAACTAAAACTGAACTAGAACTAGAACTGAACTAAAACTGAACTAGAACTGAAATAGAACTGAACTAGAACTGAATTAGAACTGAACTAAAACTGAACTAAAACTGAACTAGAACTGAACTAGAACTGAAATAGAACTGAATTAGAACTGAATTAGAACTGAACTAAAACTGAACTAGAACCGAACTAAAACTGAACTAGAACTGAACTAGAACTGAACTAGAACTGAACTAGAACTGAACTAGAACTGAACTAGAACTGAACTAGAACTGAACTAGAACTGAACTAGAACTGAACTAGAACTGAACTAGAACTGAACTAGAACTGAACTAGAACTGAACTAGAACTGAACTAGAACTGAACTAGAACTGAACTAAAACTGAACTAGAACTAAACTAGAACTAAACTAGAACTGAACTATAACTGAACTATAACTGAACTAGAACTGAACTAGAACTGAACTAGAACTGAACTAGAACTGAACTAGAACTGAACTAGAACTGAACTAGAACTGAACTAGAATTGAACTAGAACTGAACTAGAACTGAACTAGAACTGAACTAGAACTGAACTAGAACTGAACTGAACTAGAACTGAACTAGAACTGAACTAGAACTGAACTAGAACTGAACTAGAACTGAACTAGAACTGAACTAGAACTGAACTAGAACTGAACTAGAACTGAACTAGAACTGAACTAGAACTGAACTAGAACTAAACTAGAACTGAACTATCACTAAACTAGAACTGAACTATCACTAAACTAGAATTGAACTAGAACTGAACTAGAACTGAGTGGGGTTCAATGACATCTTTTAACAACGGTTAAATGTGTAAAATTGTAATTTAAACGCAGATTTTTAATGCTTGTATTTAAAGAGTATTTAAAAATTCTTTAACATATTAAAAACAATAACCCCCATTTTCTCAATGTCTGATTAATTTTTATCCTAACGATATATTGACAGTTTTCATACAAAAATTATTTTAACCGACAGTATATCTACCGGTTAAACGAAAATCGGAGGTTGAGATAATGGCCCTAAATCAGCTAATTAAAAATTATAATTTTTAAATACTCTTTGCTTTAATATACATTAATTTTATTAAAAAAAACAACTTCCCATTTATTAAAAATTATTTATATTTTGTCTTCTTTTCCCTCCCATCAAAACGACTTTAGAAATTAAACTGCGATTTACATTTTTAAGTAAATTTTAAAGAATTAAAAAAAGAACACTACGATTTTATTAAGAAAACCAAAAATAACAACAACTAAATATTTATAAAGTGTAAAAATAAAAAAAAAATCTCTTCATAATTAATTTTTATTTTGAAACTACAATAAATCACAACTCAACACAAAATGCTGTAAACCGAAATAAAAACTACGTGGATAAACTATTTTTCGAAAACCGGATTAAATGAACTCAACATAAACTAAACAAAGTTTGTAAATTTCTACAGAAATATTGTTTAAATGTTGTTTAAAAAAAGAAACAAATTAACAAAAGCCTTGTTAAATGCAAAAAAACAAAAAAACAGTACATATTCTAAAGTACAAAAAGCCTTTAGAAATGTTTTTAATAAGCTTTTTTATATAAAAAAAAAAACTAACCTTTAATAAAACGAGTAATATAAATTCTTAATGATTTACAGCCCATAAATACTGCGTTTTTTATATATAAAATGGAATGTTAATCCCTTATTGTTCTTGTTGAATATTGAATTGAACTGCTCTACTAAAAATAAAATTTGTTTCCTCTACCTTTACATTTTGTGAAAAGATTTTATAAAAATGAAAATCTTTAGCCAGCACTTAATTAACATATAAAGTCTTATTTTGTTTTAATCTAGCAAAATAAATTAAGACTTTATTTTTTAAATATTTAAATAGTGAGAAATAAGATTCTTTTTTTAAAAAAAAGAACTAATTTAGCGCTATTTAACTGTAACTCTACTTCCATGCATTTTAATTTGAATGTTGTATTTTTTATCCCTTTGCTAACCCTTTAAAAAATTTTAATTATATGTTTAAAAATTTTTTTTGTAATTCCCTTAAATGTAAAACTTTTGACTAATTTGTGTCGTTTTTTCTCTCTCTCTCTCCTTATGTTTTTTGTGTCTATTTACAGTACGTGTTCAACGCCTGAATCAACGTAAATAAACGTGTGATTATTGTCTTGAAATTTGTCTGAATTAAAAATGCATCCAACCAATCCAGCAACCAACACAACCATTTACAATTTAAATAATAAATCCAGATGTTTGTTTAAATACCACCTTTAAAAATTATATTTATTTAAAATAAAACAAAGAATATATAATAATCCAATAACTGCTTCATCAATACCTACCTACCAACCAACCAACAACAACAACTACACTCAAGTAACAAGTTTAATAATGAATGTGGCCATAATGGAATAAACTATTTTCAAATTTAGTACCAAGAAAAGTCCCTCTATTACGATTTTTGTAAAATCTGTACGTATGTAACTTAATTTAATTTAATTTAAGTATGTATTTAATTAGATTTATTTTGTAATTTATTTGTTTTAATGTTTTTTGTTTATGGTCGGTTTTATAGTTTACCATAAGATATGTTTTGAAACATAATTTTGAAAACTGTAAAACCGGCCCTTGGTCTTTATTTTACTGTGTAAGTTTCAAATTTTTTAAGGAATTTATTAGAAACATTTACTAGTTAATATTCATACATAAGTCATATATTAGAAAGTCATATATTATCATTATTAGAAAGAAATCATTATCAGAAAAAATTAAATAGACAAAAGGAATTTAAGTAAAATAAAGGTAAAGATATGTTATTTAACGTAGAAAAGGTTTTCTTCAGAAATTGACATAGACATTCATAAATTTCTTATGAGATAATACTACACAAACTTAAGTGTATGAACCAGTGTTGGCAAAATTGATACAATTGTACTTTTTTGGTACTATTCAATCCTCAAAAGTATAATGGTACACCAGTGACCCATTTTATACAATTTATATTCTCTCAAATTGTTAAGAAACATGGAAAAGATTACAGCCAGGTGAGCAGTAATAATTTTTAACAACGAGAGTACTTCTCTAGGATTCCTTTTTTATGCAAAAGCGAAAATTTTAAATAATTTTAATGATTTTTTAAGTCCTATTTTGAATAGACGTTTAAAGTACATTTTACTAGACTTTGGACTAATCTAATGACTTTTCTATGATGTAGAAAGAATGAAAATGCGAAAGCGAATAATTAACTTTAGTTTTTGCGAATGCAACTGCGAAAGCAAATGCAAAAAGTATAATTACTATTAATTAGTCTAGGGACTTGTCTTTGGATTATTTACCGACAATCCTATATATTATATAGTCTATAGATTATTCTCTTCTATAAACTAGTCAATACACTACTTTAATATCTAACCTATAGACTATTGTCTAGTCTATAGAGTAGTTTATTGTCTTGTTTAAGAATACTCTCCATAGATTAATCTATTGTCTAGTTTACAGAATACGTTAATGGCTAGTCTATATGAAGACAATAGACTTTCTAGTCCATTGACTAATCTGAACACCAAATGGACTATTAGACTATGTAGACTAATCTATGGGCTAATAAAAATGAACTGTTAATTTTGAATTTTATTACTTACTTACTTACTTACTTACTTACTTAATTACTTACTTACTTACTTACTCACTTACTTACTTACTTACTTACTTACTTACTTACTTACTTACTTACTTACTTACTTACTTACTTACTTACTTACTTACTTACTTACTTACTTACTTACTTACTTACTTACTTACTTACTTACTTACTTACTTACTTACTTACTTACTTACTTACTTACTTACTTACTTACTTACTTACTTACTTACTTACTTACTTACTTACTTACTTACTTACTTACTTACTTACTTACTTACTTACTTACTTACTTACTTACTTACTTACTTACTTACTTACTTACTTACTTACTTACTTACTTACTTACTTACTTACTTACTTACTTACTTACTTACTTACTTACTTACTTACTTACTTACTTACTTACTTACTTACTTACTTACTTACTTACTTACTTACTTACTTACTTACTTACTTACTTACTTACTTACTTACTTACTTACTTACTTACTTACTTACTTACTTACTTACTTACTTACTTACTTACTTACTTACTTACTTACTTACTTACTTACTTACTTACTTACTTACTTACTTACTTACTTACTTACTTACTTACTTACTTACTTACTTACTTACTTACTTACTTACTTACTTACTTACTATCTTTATTTACTTAAAGTCGAATACAGTTTAAGGTATTTTCAGACTACAATACTGAGTATTAACACACTTCAAATTAAAAATATTATGAAAATAATTCGCATTTTCAAAAAATCAATCCGAAAAATACATTTTATGTTTACACTATAATATTTGTAATATTTTTTATCCAATTTTCAATTATTTATGCACTTTTCGTTCTTATTTTTAATGTATTTTACAATTTTTGTTTGTTTTTTATTGTATTTATAAAATACATCCCGAATACGTTTGAAAATAAAAAGTTTTTGAATTGTTTTAAAAAATTTATGAATACCGACCGTATGCCAAAAAAATCAGTAATATTTTTGAAAATCAAATTACAAATTATATTTAGACTAGTAAATTGTATTATGATACAAACATTTTTGACAAGTATTAATACTCAGTATTGTAGTCTAAAAATACCTTTAGAGGTTCATGCGAGTATTATAATGTAATAAGAAGGGTAACAATGACAGTTTAGAGTCACTTATACGGGCACAATCAGGAGTTAATTACGAATCAATTACAATTAAGCTGAGGTTGTTTAACCTTCTATTACATAGCTCTGATAGATTGTCAAGAAATGTATAACAAATAGGGATGACTACACTAACACTTCTTCACAAAAAGTATTTAACATAACTATTTTGGTTTTGATATTAGATACATCAATTTGTTTTTATACTTATAATATATACTTTGATTCTTTAACTAGTAAATTCATAATTATTTTTAATTAATTTAATTATTTAATTTTTAATAATTTAAATTTACTTTGTTTTTCTTCTTACCTTACTTGTATCGCAGAACAGCTTTCCTTGAAACGAAGCATAATTTAAACATCAACTAAAAAATATTTTCTTTATTTTCATTCCTTTTCTTTCATATAGCTGGACGTCAGCGACGCATGGGACACTTTGGTAGAAATTTTACAGTCGGTCTTTGGCAATAAACGCTGAAAGTATAACATCAATATATAATAAAAATTATTACATATTTTATTTAAAAATTATTTCAATGTAATCTGTTTTATGTATTTTTTTATATATATTTTAAAACTAAAAAGAAATGTTTGTTGTAATTTTTGAAAATTAAACTAAAATAAATTGGAATTATTTATAATATTAAATAAATAATTTAAAAAAATGTTAATAATTTTAAAATTATTAATAATTTTTTAGACAAAATTTAATAAATTTATAATTTTTAAATTGTTATAATTCATTTAAAATTTTAAAATTACAAATCATTTTATAAAGCATTGAGAAATTTTAAATACTTATATAAAACGTTAAAAAATTTTTTATTGTTTAAACTTTTCATTAACAATATGTTATTTAACTGAACTGTAAAAACTAAATTTTGCAATATGATTATTTCCTCTCAAAATATTCTAAACTTGTTAAAAAAAATATATATAAGAAATGTGTATGTTGTTGCAATTTTAATGTTAAAACTAAATATTGATTATTACTCTTTTTTAAATTTTACCTAAACAAATTTAGATAAAAAGACATTTATATTATAAAAACAAAATTTAAATTGAAAATATTTCAAATACCAATTTTTTTCCTTAATTGTTGTAAAGCTTTTGATCAAATAATAATAAAATGTTTCACTTAAATGTTTGCTTTCTGAAGATGTTAAAATCCCAATGCAGTCTTAAAAACAAAAAACAGATTATATTAAATTAAATATAAATGCTCTTACACGTACACATTTAATAAAATTTTTATAAATGGAAATTCACGTAGTTTAAAATAATAGAAAACAAGAAAACACAACAAACACAATATTATATTTAAAAAAAAGCTCTTATTTTTATGCATTATTTGTAAAATTTTTTTCTTTTTTTTTATTATAATTTAAGTTGATTTATTTTATTTTGTAATTTTAAACTTTTACCAGATGATTATACATTATTATTTAGTTTATTTTTTTTTCTCTTTATTTTTTGTTGTATTTTTTAAAAATACTTCTTTTTGTTTTTACTATTCTTTCGACTTTAGCTTATTTTTTATTTAAGAAAAATTAAATGATCATAATTCATAAAATTATTTTTATTTTAACAAAATAAAATTGTATAATTTAAATCACACAAAAATATATAAAATATTACACTTTATATATATTAAAATTATAATAAAATTGCTTATAAATTATGTAAAATGTAAACAAATAAAAAAAAACTATAAAAAAATTAAAAAAAAAATAATTTGATACTTGTTTTTATTTAAATTGAAGATAAAATCTGATACAACTTGGAACGTAAGTAAGTGGACTAGTAATTTCTAAACGGTCTGAGTACAGAAACAAACAAGTAAGAATGTATGGATACTCCCATATGATACCCTACACCAGTGACCCAGCAAAAAATAATTGATGACATACTTTACAAACGACATCTTAATCACATCTAAAAATGCGATTACATATTTTTCGCTTTTATAAACCAAATATTTCCTTACAAATAAAAACCGAGTTAAAAGTGAGTCACTACAAATAACATATTCGAAGTACATCGAATTTTGGTGAAAAACTAATGAAATTTACATAAGCGTGTCAATGAAAGAATGTGGTTTATTTTTGACATCCAAATAGCGGATTTTTACTGCATCTATGAATAAGATTAGATGTAGTTCAAAGTTGTCAAAAATGAACAACATCCCTCCAATGACACGCTAATGTAAAATTCATAGGTTTTTCACCAAAATTGGAAGTACTTCAAGTATGTTATTTCCCACAAAAAAATAATTGCCCAGCAAAAAAAGTGTGGAAAAAGATGTAGAATTTTCATCACAACTAGTAACCCCAAGTGCTTCAAATTCGGGTGTAAAACCTATGAATTTTACATTAGCGTGTCATTGGAGGGATGTTGTTCATTTTTGGCAGCTTTGAACTACATCTGATCTTATTTTTAGAAGCAGTAAAAATCCGATATTAGGATGTCAAAAATAAAACACATTCTCTTAATGACACGCTTATGTAAATTTCACTACTCTTTCACCAAATCATGATGTACTTCAAATATGTTATTTGTAATGACTTTTCCACATCTCTTTCCTCACTTTTAACTGGGGTTTCATTTGTAAGGA